AAGAAACCTGGGGCTCCACTGCAGTAAAAAAAAAAAAAAAGGTACTACCAAATACCAAATCCAAATATATTCTAGTGGGCTGTCTTCCCTTTCTTGTCTTTCCTTCCTATTCCACTGCCCTAACCTCTCAATGAACTGCTTGTCCTCAAATTTTGTCTCAAGGTCTATTTTGAGGGGAAGCCAGACTAAGACTCCTGGTAAACTCCAGGTTATGCAGTCAGAGTTTAGGCTGAGAACATAGAGAGGAAATGGGGCTTCCAGCAAAAACAGAAGCCAGAAAGAAGCATTAGAAGCAGGAAGTTTGTATTCCTACATTAGTTTCCTGACAACAGGTGTTGTCTTCTTCTTCCTTAATGTCCTGGCTTTGGCAGGTATTAGTGTATATTTGCAAAAAAAAAAAAAAATCTGTATCAGTTTAGGGGACAAATGAAGGTCCCATCTCTTTCATAATCCAAAAAATTTTTGTGGAGATATACCCTGTTTATGTCTCCTTTCTTTGCTTCACAGCCCATGGATTTCCCTCTATGACCAGAGAACCTATGCATGATCTGTCAGCTGCAGCAACTCTGCAGTGAAAGTATGTGTCAGCCCCCAAACCAGATGTCCCGGGGTTTTTATTCAGCCCTTGGCAACTGTTGGAGGTATTGGAATTCCTCCATGATTTTTTGTAATCCTTGCTACCAGGTAAGGTAGTTTTCATTTGAGATTACCTTAGTCCATCGAAAGTATTCTAATACTTTTGAAACCTTAAGAAGGAAAGGTGAAGTTTTGAATCATTTCTTTCCTGGAAGTTTACAGGTTCCGTAACAATTTTCCTATCTCTTTTTCCTCCTCCTATTGGCTTTCGCAAATGTAAGCAGTAGAAACAAGGCCTTTGGCAAGACCTTCTAAGTGTCCTATCAAAACCTTTCTGCAGAAAGAAACCCTCAAGTCATCCATTGGCAAGAGCAGGTGCTCTCTTGGGGTGACTGGATGTCTCTACTTCCACATGCAACTTTCACATGGCAGTTCTTCTTGGGGCTGAGGGAGCCGGTGTCACATTTAAGGTCTTTCTCATTGGTTTCTGTGATATGGGTTGTGTCTGAAGTATCCTTTTTTGTAGCTCTGGGGGTTATATAAGTTTTTGATTTTCTAAGATAGTTTTACTTTCAAGTAATTTTTCCATATATAGACTTGCCAGATCATAGGCTTTTGAGTTGAGTATTGGATGCCATCCATTTTCCTATAGGTCAAGGGAAGCAATAGAAAGGAAGTGGGACAAACAGGTCTGTCTTTGCAGGGTGCACAAGAAACATTTTGAATAAGTAACTGCATAACTCAGGCTATAATGTGGAGAGTGGGTTGGACACAGACATTTAGATCAATTAGGGAGTTTGTGGATTATTACAAATGAGAGATAATGAGAATCTTAACGCTAAATTTTAGCCATGTTAGGGGTACATATGTTGTGTGTTAATTTTGTGTAGCACCATTTAATTTCTGATATTGCTGAGAAAATAATAGATTGAGTGTGTCAGGAGTACATCCTCACTCCCTCTCCTCTATTGATGACATTGCTTTGGAAAGGATCATGATGACTGGAGGCTGCTTCTTGTTCTTCTCATGTTCAGGGAGCTGCCCCCAATCCCCTTGCCCATGGCTGGCTGCCCTGAGGTTTGTTATCCACAGGATGTTTGTTGCTAAATTGGGGGTTTTCTGCTATAAGGTAACATAAATCAGAGCCCGGTCACCTCAGGATGAACATAACAGCCTGAAGGGTACCATGCACTACAAAATCCTGTTATGAAGACTCTCAGCAGGCCATAATTTATCAGATAATGCCTCTGCTCTGGAAGTTAAGACAAGTGGAAAGGACTCCCTGCAGATCACTGAATTATGGCTATATGCCTTGATTGAGTTTTAGGGTTTTCTGACCTCTTGCCCCACACTCCACACACAAACTTACTTCCCTATAAGAAGAACTCTGTTTCAGTCACACTGGTTTCTTTATGTTTCTCTAAAAAGTCAGTGCTTCTTTCTACCCCAAGGTTTTTACTCATTATATTTCTCTAGTATGGAATACCTTTCTCCTTTTACACTCTAGATTCCTGAGCCCAACACACACACA